GGCGGGCCCCCGCCTGCCCCCTCGGACTCAGGGGCGGCTCTCGGCCCCCTTCTGCTTCTTCCGCTGCCGGCCCAGCTGGCGAAAGTGCAGCCGCTTGGGGTTGAGGCCAAAGGCCTGCAGTCTCTGGCGGCTGAACTCATGGCCACCGAGCGTCACCGTGGGGCCCAGCAGCCGAGCCTTCTTGCCCCTCTTCCGCTTCTGGGGGGCTGACTTCGTGGGTGACAGGGAGGCTGCCTCTTCCTGCGCCGGAGGGCTCTCAGGCCGGGGCCTCTTTCCGCAGCCGCCATCTGGAGCTGGCAGCTGCCCCTGCGAGGCGACTTTCTCTCTCTGTGGCTTTCCTGTGGCTTCTGTGGCTGTCTCTGTCTCTGTCCTGGGGGAGGAGAGGCAGGGCTCAGCCCCCATGCGTTGTGACTAGCCCCATTTCTAGGCACAAGGGCTCCATTTTACAAACTCAGGAAGGAAGCAGGGGAGGACCCAGCTGTTGGGGGACAGCCTTGGTCAAATGCCAAAGCCAGCGTCTTTCTGAACCCCAAGGCCAGTCTGATGCTGTAAACTGTGGCATTTATGCATGGGCCCGGACTGAGCTACTGACATACATTTTTGTTTGTTTATTTTTTAGAGGTTTTTACCTTAGGGTGCGTGCGTTCACCAGAGACAGAGACTGAGAGGGAACGTGAGAAGTCACCCCCCAGGGGGGATGGCCACGCCGCAATCCCTTCTCCTCCATTCTCCTCTCGGGACCTTGGGCACGCACGCCCACGCGCCCGGCGTGAGTTTAAGCCACCGGGTCCGGGACTCGAGCCACAGTCAACTACACGGGAGTCCAGCGACATAGCCATTACGCTAACTGCTGGTCCCCACCACCACCATAAACTACTTTTAATGTCAAGTGAGCTTCCATCTCCCCTGCTTCAGAATAGGAAATAATGCCCCTAAGGGGCCAGCAGGTGGCGTAATAGTAAAGGTGCTAGATGTCCACATGGCAGAATGCAGTTCTTGTCCCAGACCTGGCAGCTTGAAAATCATGCTGGGTGCATGTGCATACATGCCCCAAATCCCAAAAGAATGGAGGAGAAGGAATTGTGGCGTGGGTATCCCCAATGGGGTGGTGGGGGGGGGTGATTTCTCACTTTCCCTGTCTCTAGGAGAATGGAGAAGGGATTGCGGCGTGACCATCCCACCTGGGGGTGATTTCTCGCTTTCTGTCTCTCTGTCTCTGTCTGTCTGGCGAGCGCATGTGCCCTATAGCGAAAAACCTCTCCAAAAAAATAATAATGCCCATAATGGTAACAGCTAATACCTAAAGGGCATTTACTATATGCTAAGCACTTTTATCATTATTTTAAAAAATTATTCATTTAATTTTTAAAAATTACTTTAAAAATTTGCTCTAGGCCTGTATGCTCACCAGAGAGACAGAGAAGGAAATGAGAATGCACCCTCCAGGTTGCTTTAATCCCTCTTCCTCTCAAAACTTGGGGCACACATGCACCTGACTGACATTTCAAGCTGCTGGGTCCGGGATTCTAACTGGGGATGTGGGGTCCAGCTGCTTTAACCACTAAGCTACTAGCTGGCTTGAGTTGAACTATCTGATATTCATCTGACTTGCTAGATAGGAAACAGGCCCAGAGAAGGGCAGTGACTTGCCCAAGGTCACACAGCTATGGCCTAGCCAGATATGAACCCAGGCCTCAGAGATGGAAGCCCCATTTCCAAGGCCAGGCAACCCATGGCAACAAAGCGTGACTCAAACCCAGGCCCAGCAAGCCCTGGCCCGCCCTGCCCCTGCCCCTGCCCCTGCCAGCAATTCTTACTCCTCCGGGCAGAGTGACTTGAAGATCTGTCTCTTTTTCCACGAGTTCTGGGCCTTCTGGGTGTACGCCCTCTTGTCCTGCAGTTCCTCCTGCTCCGACCTGCAGTGCCCGGGGACATGCGTGTCACTGGGTGGTCTGGGAAGTGGCTGCCTGCCCACTTTCCTTCCCTCCAGGGACGGCCTCGCCCAGGGGCTCACCTGTACATGCAGGTCTTCTTCAGGGAGCACCATCGGTTCAGCTCCTTGTCATCAGCCGCCAGGATCTGAGTGGGGAGGGAGGGTGATCACCTGCTGGGTGAGATGCGGGGGGCCTGCCCTAGCCTCAGCACCCACCCTGGTCACAACAGCGTGACATTAATAGCACCCCTCAGGGCTGCCCACTTCTGCAGAGACCCCTGGCTGTTTTGCAAGAGCGCACAAATGGGGAAACTGAGGCTCGGAATCCTCATCCTGGATTGTCCAGCCAGGATGTGAGCCACTTTCGGATTCCCACCTGAGCCCACAGTCCCAGAGACCTCTGCCAACTACTGGCTTTACCAGTTACAGACAGGGCCCAGGTTCGGGACCCCGACCAAGGCTTCAGTTTCCTCATCGTGATGGGGACAGCCCTTCAGAACAGACTAGAAAGACATTCACTGGACTGATGGAGTGAGTGAGTGAAGGTGGATGGTTTTTAAACATCAGCTGCTGTTGTAGTTTTTTAACATTTATTTGTCGGGTTATCAGAAAAGTCATGACTTATTTTTCTATTTTTTAATTTTTTATGGATTTTTGCTATAGGGTGCCTGTGCTCATGGGAGTGACAGAGACAGAAAGCGAGAAATCACCCACCAAGGGGAATGGCCACACTGCAGTCCCTTCTCCTCCATTCTCCTTTTGGGATCTCAGGCACACGCACACACACGTGCGCCCAGCATGAGTTTTAAGCCATCGGGGTCAGGACTCAAATCGTGGCCGGTATGTGGGAGTCCAGCAATGTAACTGTTACACCATCTGCTGGTCCCTATTTTTGTTTTCCATGCAAAAATGTATCCTGACTTTTCTGACAACCTAATATTTATCTATTAATCCATTGTGATTTTTCAAGCCGCCGGGTTTGGGACTTGAACTGTGGTCAGCCGTGTGGGAATCCAGCGCCCTAACCAGCATGCCACCTGCTGGCCCAACACCAGCTGTTCTTGTATTGATCATTAAGAATCCAACTTCCATGGCCAGGGTACTAAGGGACGTGGGGACCGGCCAGGCAGGGACCGCAGAGCCACGTGTGATCTAATTCCCTCCTCCGCCAGGAGACGGGCCATAGTTAGTCCCGTGTTACAGGTGGTGAGAGAGCTCGTCCCAGGTCACGCAGCAGGTGGGCCAGGACCTGAACCCGGGCCATCTTCCAGAGACCAGGGCTCAGGGCCAGCTCCCTGTTCCCTTCCCCACCCACCCCCCTGCCCCCGGGGTCCTGGGCACCCAGCCAGGTCCCCGACCTCCTCGGTGCTGAGCCCAAAGTCACAGGGCATCACGGTGCGGTACTTGAAGCGACAGGGCAGGTCGTCAATGATGTCCTCGTAGTCCAGCCGGTAGTACTCGTCCAGGTACTCCTCGAAGGTCTTGTCCTCTGGACGGGACACAGCCAGGTTGCTGGGGTGCGCCAGGCCCCACGGAGCACACACGCGCACCAGACCCCCCACTCCCACATGGCTGACTGTGGTTCAAGTCCCAGACCCCTTCAAAGGCTTGCTTTCTCAATTTCTCTCTCTCTCTCTCTCTGTCTCTTTCTGATCAAAATAAAATAAATAAAGTTAAAAAAAAAAAATCACCTGGGGCCAGCGGGTGGGTGTGGTGGTTGGAGTCCTGGACCCCTACGTGACTGACTGCAGTTCAAGTCCTGACCCAGAGGCTGTAAATTTACAACAAATAGATAAATAAATGTTCAACATGATAATAATGGGAGGACCAGCAGGTGGTGTGGTGGATGAGGCGCTGGACCCTCCCTCCCACGTGGTCAACCAAGGTTCTAGTCCCGAACCTGGTGGCTTGCTATCCCACTTTCTCTCTCTCTCTGTGGTCAAATTAAAATAAATGAATGAGTGTATAAATAAATTTTAATAAATAATTATTTTAAAAGGTTTTAAAAAATAAAATAGTAATAATAATAATCAGGCCCTTAGCCTGGTCACCGGGGGACCTCACCTGGGTCGAACACGGGCTTCTCCTGGCCCACCGCCTCGGCGAAGGGCGATTTGCGCTTCTTCTTGCCTGTCAAGGGGGCCTCACGCTTCTTCCTCCGCTGCTGGCTGGGGTCATAGTCGGCATCCATCTGCGGGGACATGCGGGTCAGGCCTGGCCTGCCTGTGGCCCCAGGACACTCTGGGCGCCCACCCCACCACCACCACCACCCACGGCACCTACATTAAAGTCGGGGTCTTCGCAATGTGGCTCCTGCTGGCTCCAGGCTCCTTCTTGTCCCGACCCATCCCACGTGTCCCAGTTCCAGTCATCTGGGTCCAGAGGGGTTGGACAGGAGAGGGTCAGGGTGGGGCCTCGGGTACCAGGCCCAGCCCCCAGGCCCCCAGGGCCCCCAGGCCAGCCGACCTCACCTTCGAGCCCCTCCTCCTCCTCGAACTGCGGCTTCTCCTCCTCCGCGGTGCCGTAGTACTCCGCGCCGAAACATTTCTGCAGGGCAGCGTTGGGGGGTCAGCAGGGCCTACCCGGCGGGGAGGGAGGAGCTCTGCACCCCACGGTGAGGTCGGTGCCCTCCCCTCACCCCGACTGCTCTGCTTCTGCACCTTGCACGGCACCCCAATACCCTGGTCTCAGGATAGAGCTCCTGATCAGGGGGCCTGTGTCCAGGCTCCTCCCCGTCTCTGCCCGCTACTCCCCTCCCCTGCCTGTTCTTCGCTCCCTAGAGGCCTTCGCCCTGCAGTGACCCCCACCAGGTGCACTCACCCCCTTTGACTAGTTCACTGCTACAATGGGCTCAGGTTTCATCTGGTTTATTCATTTTCTCTTTTTTTTTTTATTTTAAGAAATTATTTCATTTTATTTATTATTATTACTTTGGAGAGGGTTTTGCTGTTCTCCTCCTGGGATCTTGGGCACACACACGCGCCTGGCATGAGTAAGCCACCGAGTCCTGGACTCGAACCGTGGTCGAGTACATGGGAGTCCAGCGACATAGCCATTACGAAAATTGTTGGTCCCAGTTTTACTGATTATTTTTCTAATTTGCTACAGTACACACACACTCACCAGAGAGAGAGAGAGAGAGGAGGAAAGTGACAAAGCAAGCCGCCAGGTCCCCCCCATGGCTGACTACACAGATAAGTCCCAGACAGGGAGCCTGAAAAAAACACTGGGCACGTGTGTGTGTACCCCCCAAATCCTGAAAGGATGGAAAAATGGAGAAGGGTCTCTGCAGTGTGTACATGCCCCTTGGGGATGCCCCCCCCTCAATTTTTTTTTTAAGAATTTATTTAATTTTTTAAAAATTCATTCTTTTTTTTTTTTTGGAGAGGTTTTTGCTATAGGGCACATGCGCTTGCCAGACAGACAGAGAGAGACAGAGAGACAGAAAGCGAGAAATCACTCCCCGGGGGCAATGGCCATGCCACAATCCCTTCTCCACTCTCCTCTCGGGATCTTGGGCATGCACACACACGCGCCCAGTGTGAGTTTAAGTCACTGGGTCTAAGACTGGAACCATGGTCGTCTACGTGGGAGTCCAGTGACATAGCCATTATGCTAACTGCTGGTCCTGCATTCATATTTTATTCTTAAATTTGACCAGAGAGAGACAGAGAGAGAGAGAGAAAGCAAGAAAGCAACCCACCAGGTCCGGGACTTGAACCATGGTCACCATGTGGGAGTGTCCACTACCTTAATCACCACGCCACCTGCTGGTTCCCCCCCATCTCCAACCCCCCAAAGTTTAAAAATAATAATAGGGCTAGCCAGTGGTGTGGTGGGTGAAGGGGCTGGGATGCCACATGGGCAAA